AGTTAGGAATTAGATTTTGTTGGTAGGGTAGATATATCTGCATTACCATGGGCCGTCTTACTCTTTTAATTATACCCCATTCGGGCTAGGACTACAAGGGAAACCATGGAAAACCTCAGTCGTACAGCTGGCCGATTGTGCAGAGCTCTAATGTGCCCTTCTGTCACACTGACTAGAGGGGCACATTAGGCCACCACACCGTGCCTACCTTCCGAAATTTTTGGGCGAGGGTGTTCCTAAGCGGTCACCCATCCAAGTACTAACCACGCTAAAGGCAGCTGCACTCGGATGTCCGCCGGAGCAACACCTAACTCACCCAACCATTACGGTCGGTTACATTTGCATTTTATTTAATGGATATGAGTCGGAGGTAGTGGAGGGGGTTGTTGCTTCGTGTATAGATACACGGCAGCGTTCGGCCAGTTTTGTACAGTCAGAGTCAAAACTTTTTCTTGGCCGATACGCTACCGCGTATCTCGATATATCAATTAGTAATTTTGAACCTTGTCCTTAGGAAATTTGCATATATCCGGACGTACATAAACTGCTTCATTCAATTAACGCCAAAACCGTTCGAACATAATGTAAGGTGATGAATAATTAAGTAAATATACACAAAAAAAACAAATTTCAATTCAAGACTTAGGATCCTAAATTGAGACTTTCGAAAATCTCAATTTGAGACGTAAAAATCTCAATTTAAGCGCTCTGAAAGTCTCAAGTTGAGGATTTTGAATGGCTCAAGTTGGGATTTGAAAGTCTCAAATTAAGAATTTCAGATAGCTAAAATTGAGATTTTCAAGTCTTAAATTGAGACTCACCGACGTCGATGGCGGCTAGGTGCGAGCCTAGTGTGCGAAAGGTTGTGAGTTCAATTCCCCGTGAACCGAGTTTTTCAACCGGAGGCTCCGGCGAGCGGGAGGTCGCTAATATAGTGACCGCCTGTACCGGCATGGGTTAGCCAATCAGAGGGCAGAAAGGGCCGGAATATAAAAAAAAAAAAATTGAGACTCAGACGAATCAAATGGAGATTTTCAAGTCTCAAATTGAGACTTCTATTTTGTCATTAATTAATTAATTAATCTCTATTTTGTCATTTCGAAAGTCCCAAGTCAAGAATTTTGTTTTCTGGGTGTAAATTGCTGAGACAAATACAGTGACGTCAGCACCTTGCTTACAAATTGGAGGACGATATGGAATAGAAAATCAGGAATTGAAGGATCCAAAAATTAGTTAATAGTAGACCTTAGACCGATAATAGACTTTCAAATGGTGAACGTTAGAATTTTTCAATACTCCAACCAATCACGTTGTGATTGACGGCCCCCATGATTGGAAACGGTGACGCAGCTGTCAATGGAACTTTAAATGATACTTAATATCGCTCTTCATGTTGGTAAATTATCGGTTTGACTGCTTCACCGAACATTGCTCAAACTATCGCACATAATGTTGCTCCAACTGTCGCGAAGTAATGTCGCTAAAATCATCGCAGCAAATATCGCCATAATTGTCATAACATTGTCATTTTTTATTATGGCGACATGGTGGGGCCTACCATGAAGCTATTGGCTAAAACATTGAAAAATTTGAACGTTCACTTTTGAAAAATGGATTATCGGAGTTTCACAGTTCTTGTACCATTCAATTACAGTCAAGCTTTATATAAGATACCTGAGAGACAGTAGAAGAGTGGAATTCCGGAAATCCGTATACCCCCACTGCAGGCGCTTATAGAGAAGAGAAAAATAGGGATCAACGGTTTGAAATAAGATACCTCGCTCGATGCGCCTGAATTCTTCGGAATATTCATTTTTACCGAATGGATATTGATAACTAATCAATTTATACGAATTTAATGGTTTTAAATTCGTATAATCCACATTCCCTTTTCTCTCTAAACATAACTTCGCGTGATAGAATAGTAGCTGATGTTGGGGAATTGTTGGGGGACTTGAGAATAATCACTTCTGGACAGCTGAAGTACCAATAATTGAAACTACGTAATTTAATTGAATTTTAATTAGGCTTTATGCTATTACGATAACTCTGCGTCATCATTTTAATAATTATAGCGTTGAAGAAAAAAGGTGATCTTTGGGATCGTTTGACCCTTCTAATTACTTCACTTGACTCTCACGTTTGAACTCTTGACCCTTATTAAGGTCATCTGACCCTTATGATCACGTCGGTCGACCCTCCCGTTTGACCCTTAACTCCGGTTGATCTTTATAATTACTCTTCCCGTTGAAAAATGATCGAGGTCATAGGTTTCTTATAAGAAGCCCACGGAACTAAAAAATCAGGAGGCGATCAAAGTGCCGAGAGTGGGGGTTGGCCTCCAGTGCTGGAGGTATCTTATAGAGAGGTATTTTATAGAAAGCCTTGACTGTACTGACTTTCCATTCTATATCTTTTTACAATTTGTAAGCAAGGTACGGACATCACCCTATATATGAATGAACTAGTCAATTTTCCTACCGATGAATGGCGTTATGAGAATGAATTATATTTGAGGGTTTGGGATTTTAGGACGTTTCATGCTCGATTATTAAATAAGGGTTTTTTGGTTTTCTCTATTTCAGGGGAATAACAAATTACTTCTATATATTTATCTACACAGAGAAGAAAGGTTCTGGATTTCAGTACTCTGTGGTACGGAAATCCAAGGAACAAAGTCCTGGATTGCAGTGAAATTTACCCTTATTCTGAGGGAATTTTCTCTGAAAATCAAAGAAAAATGTCTATGTAGTTTTCAATAATTTCGGCTGAGATCCAGTACTTATTGTACTTAAATTAAGGCACATTCGTTTCTTATTTCAGGGCAGTTTGAATTCGGAAATCCAGTACTTTGGGTTCTTAAAATAAAAACCGTTGGGTACTGAAATCCAGAACCCTGGAGTTCTTAAGGTATATCCCAAAACAATCGGATGTAAAAGTTAGTCCCTATGGATTTCCGGAAAAAATGCTAAATAACTTAATTTATTGTATTCTCATAAGTTTTTGAATTTTTCTATTCTCATGTGTTGTTGATGCAGGTAACAATAACTGTTTGAATCAAATAAGAAATTATTTGTTAATTAATTTTTTGAATCAAGTAAGGAATGTTTTCTCAAAATTTCCATTTTTTACACTTGAATATCACGGAGACTATGTAGTACAAAATTTTCCAAAAAATTCACCGTACTCGGGATTTATCAATCTATCGCGGATTTGTTTTTTTAAACCACCGTAAGAACTGTTTTCCCATAAGATGGAAAAATTGAGTCGGAAGGACCCATAACCCCCGTTTCATTATTTATCATCTCCTAAACTGTGTAATACAGCTAGTTAGCATTTTTTACAATAGCTGAGAACTATTATAAACATTATCTACACGGAGAGAAATGTTCAGTAAAAATTACAGAACTCACAATTCGCTTACCGATTACGAAATCGACTTAGAAAATTTAAGTGACGGTATCGTAATGTTTCACAGTTCCGTAAAATTTCCTACAACCACCTTTCGCTCCGGAAATACGAAAAAGATACGTAATTTTTATTGAATATTTCTCTCCGTGTATAAAAAACATGGGCAATCTTAAGAAAAACATGTTTTCTAGAGGTATACCTTAAAATAACGACCTTGACATTCCTAAATTGAGGACCGTTCGCGGCGTTCAAGCCTTACGTCATGCAATTAAGAAGGGGAGGGGATTGCCTTAAGGGGAGGTTCACCTCGGGAAAAAATGTTTGCGTTTTTTGAGAAAAAACTTCAAAAACACTATTTTCCGTATGATTTTTCCTCAGAAATCCAATTTTATAGGTCAAATTCGTCTCCGACCGCTAAAAATTACAGATTCGAATTTTTTCTAATCGAAAAATCAACTTTTGAAAAATCCCCAACGTATTTTTTTGAAACAGTTTTTTAAATATGATCACAAACTTATGACAAATATGATCCAACGATTCACGATTGAAGGTCTTGTCTCACTGAAACAAAGGACGTTTATGATACTGAATTTCAGGAATTTTTTGCTGAAACTACGTAACTAGTTTCTCGAGCTCAGTACCTTCTAGACCCACGAGTCTCTTGTATTCGGTACCCTGGTTTTGGAAGCCAGAAACTTTTTGACGTGGATACGTCTTTAATTTCATGTTGGGTGTCATTCGCGGAGTTACCTCTAACGGCCAACCCCATCTGTCGAAATTATATTTTTCTAGAAAATTCGAGAAAATTCTCCTGTTTCACAGAAAATTCGAGGAAATTCTCCGATTTTCTAAAGATCGAAAGAATTCTCCGGTTTTCTCTAAAATTTGAAAAAATTCTCGGATTTTTTAAAACACACAGCTTTTGGAAAACATCTTTTGGAACATCCTTTGGTAAAATTCAGTTTATTTCAATTCATACAATTAAAAAAATCCCAAGTGGCTGCATTCATGATACAGCAGTTAGACGTAATGTCACATCTAGGTGGCAACGAACCGATTCACAGCACACCGACACGTCGATGTATTGTGAAACCTAGGCATGTCCACGTTAAGTCTCACTGTTATAGGGTAAACAGGTGAATTTCTGGACGGGGGTTAGTTTCTGGACGATTTCAACTTGCAGCGAATATTCCATAAATAAAATGAAAATTGTACTGATTATTTCACCTTTCAATACTATTCTCGTGCATAATCATGTGATCAATTATTTTTTCTATTGATTGACATGTAATAAATGAAAAAAAAACAATGGCCCAGTCGTTCAGAAATTAGGGGTTTCGGCGGCATTCAAGTATTTCTTAATTCAATTATTTTTTGTTCTGTTACTTTCACTTTAATTAATTTTTTTCTGCTAATTAAAACATTCTGGACGGTATGAAAGCCATCATATCCCCATTTAGGTGATTCTTTTATTTTAGATCCTCCCACGAAATTAGAATTTCTCTAAACCGTCCAGCAATTGGCCTGTTCACCCTATCAAGGATACAGCCGCTTAGGATTTTTTCTCTGTGCATCTTTCTGATCCTCACCTGCAGTGCCACAAAAATAGCCGCAAAGAGTGCAACCGCAGCAACACAGATCGCCACCGCCATCATGGTGGCAGCAGTCACTGCGAATTCTTCGCCCGTGCCCTTGGCCTCTAGACTCTCGAACTCCGTATCAAACTGCACCCCAGGAGCCGGCTCTTCAGCCCCTGCGACCCGCCTCTTCCCCGCAGGGGAAGAGTTCCTGCACCCGCCAGTCTCAGGATCACAGAGACAGCACTCCTCACTCTCATTCTTCTTTTTCCCATTACAGCATGGCACACACTGATTATTGAGTTTATCGAGATGCAGAGGCAGGGTGCAAGCAGCGCAGCTGAACTTGCCGGGACCTGAGCACCTCCTGCAGTCAGCGTGACAGTTTTTGCAGAGTTGGGTTAAGGGATCGTAGTACTGGGCCCCAAGACACTCCATACAGAGGCCATCCTCGAGCATCGAATGTTCAGGACAACTGGTGCACTCTAGGGGTCCTTCGCCTTTGCAGGTCCTGCAGTAGTGGTGACACTTTTGACATCCAAAATTAGACTTGAAGAAACCTTCGGGACACTCGGGGTGACATTCACCCGCTGCCAACTGCCATCCCTGGGGACAGGTGACGCATTGATCTCTCCTTGGGCCTGAACAGGTTTTGCAGGAGAGGTAGCATTTGGCGCATTGGCCCCTGTCCGAGTAGTAGCTGTTGACAAAATTGAAGAGATTAGGGCTGAAAAGTTATGGTTTGGATAATGATAGTTCCATTTCAACAACTATTTCGCCCTATTGATTGTGGCACACTGATTTGGATGGTCAAACAGATTTTATTTTCATCGGCTGTTGACGAATGAAAATGAGCGGTGTTTTGTATTGAGCCGCTGTTTTCATGTTTATTGATTTGTTGTGGTTTGTATTATGAGAAGAAGCGCATTTTCTATTTTTTTTCTGATTTTGCACGGTCATGGTAAGTGCGCGGTGAATCGTTATTTATTATCGAATATCGTGATACAATAATTGCTAATTTCAAGAGATTTCAAGTGATGTCAAGTGATTTCATAGGATTTCGTCTCCGATTTCATGATTTAAACTGATTTCGAATTTTCGATGTCGCTTATGTGTGCAATTGCCTCTGGGCAACTAAGTAAAATTGGACCAGGGGGCATATCATGAAGAAAAAACGGAGCGTTCGCATCACGTCGCTTTGCTTGGGTACAATGAACATACATTGTATTTTTATTTGTTTTTCATTTATCACGCGATGCGAGCGTTCCGTTTTTTCTTCATGACAGGCCCCCAGGTGATAAAACAAGACCTTGCGAACAAGTTGCTAACGGGGAACTCATTTTACGAGGGGCAATGAGAGGGATAGAACGTGAGTGATAAGCAGAAAAATTGAGAGTTATAAGGTCCTGACGGTTAAACAGGAAAAATAGCTAGAAGAATTAACTTGTAAAAAATTTGAAACTTTGTTATACTTGTGAGTGTTCGAATTCAAAAACTACTGGTGATGATTTTTTCTCCGAAACTTACGAACGCATAGAGAAAGAAAAATCATGAAATTGATCACTTCATCATGGCTGAATTTATCCTTCGAAGAATAATAAACTCAACCACCACATCGAATTATTTTTATAGAAAAAATTCTAGAAATGATCCGTATTATTCTTATTTTCATTAATTTTTTTCTTGAATCTGAAATTCTTCTGATAAATTCCATGTCTCTTTTTACTAGATTCTAGAAACTTCGATTCTAAACTTCCACTTTCTGAAATATTTTTCTTTCTAAGAAGAATTGTCCACTTTAGGGGATAGTGGATCTACACGTTTCAGATTATTCTGAATGATTTGCGCGCAACTTTTGAGGACAATTTTTTGAAATATTTTTTAAAGGGAATTTGGAAATTGAAATTGGGCCAAAAAGTAAAAAAAATGTTTCTTCAGGGGATAATGAATCTGCACGTTTCAGATGATGCTGAATCGTCTGAGCCCAATCTTTTAGGACAATTTTTTTCAATTTTTTCAAAGGTTCAATTAAAAATTTCCAGAATATTTTCGCCTTGAAACCATCATTTTTTGGTTAATTTCATTCATTTATTTTCGAAAATTAATTTTTTTTTCTAGATTTTAGCCGGATGCAAGTTTTTAACTGCAGATTCTAGAATCTAGAAAAAAAAATCTTGAATTTACATTTTTTTTCTCTATACATCCTATGAATTTTAATCATGATACCATCTCATTTTTTTTTAGAAAAATGTCTTGAAATGCGCAAGACAATTTTTAGAATAATTCCTCAGTTCAAACTTTCTACACTCGCTGTTCTCCTAGGATCGAAAATTTATTTGAACAATCAGATGCGGATCTAAATTTGTTTCCCAACGGTTTGTTTTTAACTTCAGTACTGAACACGTTTAACAGCGAGTTACGAGATTCTCGAGAAATATCGATCTGTTTTGAAAATGCTGGTATTTGATAGAGTTGTGTTTTGTTTTTTGTTCCATACTGTCGTGGAGAGAGGAACCCTGTCGGTAAACCATATTCGTCAAAAGGCGTGATGAGTGAATAATAAATTTTTCTTCCTTTTCTACACGTTTCGAAATAAAATTTTACATCTCACCCATTTCGTGGTTGCAAGTGATTTCATATGAAATCACTTGAAACCACTTGCAATCGGTGAAATCACACGATTACACACACTGCTTTCATTCGATTTTAACTGATGTTATGTGATTTCAGAATTGATTTCAAATGATTTCATCCCAGAGTGACACGGTAATTTCACCAGTGAATAACCCCTCCGCCGCAAGTATGCGGAAGGTTGCTAGTTTGATCCCAAGTGAAACCGAATTTTTCAATCTAAGGCTCCGGAAAGCCAGAGGTTGCTAATAGAATAACCGCCTGTACCGGCATGGGTTTCCTGTGGTTTCTTATGCTACTCCTAGACATAGTTCTATAGGAGTGCGAATGCGATACAGTTTAGAACCCACAGCCACATGCATAGGGTTGGATAGAGCGTCGAGTGGGACTTGAAAATCGTAAAAATAAAAGAATACGACCCTGATAAATCTTGTGGATTGGAACTGATTACTATTGATTATCAGATAGTAAATCAATAGGTTTCCATCAGTCTTAGGAAACCCATTTATATCGACGAACCCATTTCTATCGACTATTAATATTGACGTTCACATACATATGGTATTGAATATTACCGTCGGGTGTCGAACTGAAAATAGTGCTTTGCTTTTCAAAGAAGAGGGTTTTATGGGTGTGAGCGGTATTGGGATTGTACAGAGTGATATGCTGCGAGCACTGCAATCTCTGCAGTTGAATACAACTATCTACCACATTTTGCCCTGCTAATTGAAGTGACACGAGGAATGGCGGAAAACCTATACCGGTGGAAACGGTTTCTCTATTAGCCCTCCTGTAGTCGCAAGCCTTCGCCGAACGTCATTGGTTGCGTGGTAAGCGCTGCGCCGCTTATCGTTTACGTTTCTTACGTTTGTTACTTGAACCTTCAGATGATTCATCTTCACATGACCTCCGTATGACTCAAACTTGATCCCCTAATAAGATACCTTATAAGCACTAGTAGATAATCGCAAAATTCTCTTGAGGATGAATCTCAAGAGCCTCTTCTAGACCTCAAGTTTGGACCTTACCACTAGAATTTCTAGAAAGTCAACAACCCAAATGTCTAGGAATAAAATTCCTGAATTTGAGACAGGAGATATTATTTTTTCCTTCGCGTCGATACAATTTTCCTTGTTCTCGGGGGTTTTGCGAGCTGCTTTAGGGAATTATTTCAAGTCATTTGTAGAATATTTGTTTATTTATCATACGTCATTATTGTGATTCATTTAATTTGTGATTCCCGCATTTTAATTGAAATTTTGTCACTATGGGTTCATGCCCTCAAGTATCGATTTTTGTTAACGCCTGCGCCTGGGAATAGGCAACAAGTCGCCAGCGTGACACTCTTTGCCCGGCAGCGATATCGTGTGAATGTGCTCTCTATTCTCATTCATATTTTGTATTGTTTTTCTATTTATTTTATATTATGTGCAAAAGAGTAGATTCTAAGAACATTTTTGAGGTTCCTGTTGAATGAACTAAGTGTATTTATCGACATAAAATAGTGAGCAACTATTTATTAATATTCTTGCCTAATCTCCTTCTCTCTTTGTCGAATCTCTCCAATTTTGAGTCTTCCCACTTCCACTCCCTGAGATAAATCGGGAAAACGTTTTTAGTTATAGAAAAACTAACTGGCGCCCAGTTAATTAATTACTGTGTCGAATTGAATTATAAAAAGGGGATTTCTTGAGCCCTGGCAGCCCTTGACCCCGGCCGCGCTATGTGGAGGCCTTCAGCCAATTCACATTTTTGCAGTCAAATTTATTAATCCAGTTGAATATTTATGTGATAATAAAGGGCCGGTCTCAAATTAATCTGCCGTTCCACATTTATTCTTTCAAACTCAACTAAAATCCACCATTCAATGACTTACCCCTGAGCACAAGATGACCTGCACTCCCCACTTTGCAGCTGCAGTCCGTCCTCACAAGCCGTGCAATTCAATCTAGAAACACACGTTCTGCAGGTATGGAGACAGGGCGAACAAATGGACCTTGAGGGTTGGGCCACCGAGTAGAAACCATCGTCACACTGTGCCACACATCTTCGGTTCTGCAGGAGTAAAGGAGACTGGCAGGAAATGCAGAAGTCTTCAGTTGGCCCTGCGCAGGTCTCGCAGGTTGAGTGGCAGGGCTTGCACTGATTATCCTCGAAGTACTCGGAGATGTCGCACTTTGACCTGGAGACTGGGGCACACAGGTTCTTCTTGTTGAGGCTCCAGCCATCGATGCAGCTTGTGCAGGCCCCTGTGACGCAGGTGGAGCAGCCTGGGGGACAGGGAACGCATTCCCTGCGTTTTTTATCAGGATAGTAGCCCTGGGGGCAAGAGGAGTGACAGGTGCCGTTCAGGGAAAAGTGCGAGAGCTTGCAGCTGATGCACTGAGTCTCCAGGGTGCCATTGCACGTCTCGCAGGTTGGATGGCAGGGGGCACAGTTGTAGTCCTGCGTCTCGTAGGTGTAGAGGGGGCACGCCGCGTAGCACTTGGTGTCGTGCATCACGAGGTGGTGTTCGCAGGACGTGCAGTGATCAGGGCGATCTTGGCAGCTCGCGCAGTTCGCTTCGCAGGGGACGCAGGTATTGTTCTCAGTGTCTGGAACAGGTTGGTAGTTTTGGGCTGAGATTTTTGGGGATGATTAGAAATGTGAGTAACAAAAATGGAGTAACTGGCAATGACCATATCGAGAATCTGACCATATGGTTAGAAAAAAAATCTGCGGGTGACTGTATCCTTGATACAGCCGTAATTATACGGGGATACGTCTATGGTCTTCCCTTTCCTTCACTGAATATCATAATTTTTCAGTGTATATATTGATATAGGTATATTAGAAGATTTCGGAATTTCGCACCGTGTCGTTATGATATGAAGTTTTTTATAATCATGATATGATTGAATTGTTATGTACAACCAGAACCCCTAAACAAACGTTCAACATATTTCATTCGAAACGAAATCATCACATTCAAACACCCTTGTGAATTTTAACACGGATCTACAAATTTTATCTATTTCGTGCTGTAATAACCAACTATCGGTATTTTGCAGACCAGCGCTAAGGATCCCTTAAAATTGTAATTTATTTCTAAAAAAAACGAGAATTTTCTAGAAAAATCTGGAATTTGCTAGAAAAACCCATAATTTTCTAGAAAAATCTAGAATTTTCTAAAAAATTCTACAATGTTCTAGAATTCCGATAGATAGCGCCACTGTCGATGAGGAACCATAAGGACTTTCCCTAAATGCCCACTAGGCAGGCCCAGAAAACATTTTTTCCGAATTTCAATTTGCAAGTTTACGGAAACGAAAGCTCATTAGTTCAAATGACTGTGTGATTTTTTTCCGATTTTTAGAACCATATTTTGAGCTTCCGCAACGATTTGGAATTTGTTATGACGTTATACACGTGAAAAAGTCAATTAAGTTTCGAATTGTGATTATATGAGTAAACTTTTCATATTTTCTTGAATACTTGGTGGGAAACTATTGACAAATAATCAAATAATATGAATAATGCTCTTTCGCAATTTCCATTCCATTTGTTAACGAATAAAAGTGGATCATTTTTGCTGAAAATGGACATTTTTGGGGGCTTCCAGAGCCCTCCGAAATCGATCCAGTCCTTTTTTAATTCCGTCAAGTGATAGTTTAACTATCTCATCGTCATTCTCCAAAAGAAGGATAATTTTCAACAGGTCCAAATTCGAGAAAAATGCAAAAGAAAATTGTTAAACTTTTAGGCTCCGACAGGTGCTGGGAGTGTCCGGTGTTTTTATGGAGGGCCATATACTGAAATGGAGAAGGTTAGTCCGCTGGCCCAGCCTTCTCTAGCACAGGTCGATTTTTTTCTTTCTCTCCGTAATAAATAACTGGTTTATTCGTTTTTCAATATTAAGTTTGTCAACTTTTTTGGAATTTAACTTGACAAACAACATCGTTAAATTCCTCAATACATTACGATTTCAACGTCACTCGGTTCATTGTTATAGCTCAATTAGAAGTGGAGTTGTTTTATTGAAACTATTTTGAATGTTCATAGAGTTTAGAAAATGTATTATTACGCTGTATTTTTTTAAATCATACAAATTTAATATAAATGTGATATACATTACTTATCGCTAGAGTAACTCATAAAAATAATTGTTCATAATACTGTGGGTGCTTCAGAACGATTGGATATTTCTCGATAGTTTCTTTGCAAATAAAGGAGGGTGTTATGTTTTGCAAGTTCAAAAATCCCGAGTGCGAAGCGCGAGTGATTTCTCCTCAAATAATTTTGAAGCTCAAGTGGTAATCGGGGGCATTATTTTTTCTCTCAGGATTTTAATCAGGAGAATCGTAGGCAGAAAATTCTTCGTTGCTCTGAGCAATGGAACCGAAAAAAATTATCAAAAAATGATCGCTGTAAAACCGTGTATGTCTTATAGAAAAATATTTCACTGTTCCGAAATTTAATTTGTGCACTCCGCTGATTGAATGAAATAATTTGTCTAGCATATGTTGGAACTCGATCTCTTTCACTTGCGCTACTAAATATTTCTCCTTTCGACAATCGCTGTACCTTTGAATATTTCTATACTAATTCACTAGATTATCCACTTTCGTAATAGCATAGGACTCTTGCACGATTGGGATTCCTGCGTATTCCCAAAAAAGGGCACACTTCCGCACAATACACTTTGCGGCTTCACGGGCAGTAAGCTTCGGTGTTACATGTCTCGTGTGATAGAAAAAACACTGTAAAACCTGCCTATTGGAAGGCAAACGGTTTCCACAAATTTCCGGTGTTGCACTACCGACGAAAGTGATGTCAATGTCTTGTCGCGTTTCTGGCATTTTCGTACGTTTTTTGTTGTTAATCTTTACAGAAGAGAAAAAAATCAACGTAGCAATTATTTCGATGTGATTGGTTTGGTAGTGCATCGTCAAATGACTTTCTGTGTTCAGGAGGGATTGAGGAGAGACCCAAAATTCATAGGTATTCCAGTAAAAGGAATATTAAGTGGGCAAAAACTCCACCCCCAAAATTTTCGGCTTGTCCAATCATAAATTAATGGAGAAATTATGAAATTTGCTCAATACTCGCCCCTGACCGTCAAACTGAATGACTCCTCGTAAAATCCCAGAATTTTTACATTCTTAGAAGGTCCCTGAAGGCACAAAAGAGCCTCACAAATCGTATTATCGGAATTATCTGTTACTAATTTAAATTTTTAAGAATATTGAAATATTAATTTCATTCGGATTGTGATGCTGCAATCCGATGTCATCGAAATATTATCTATTGAATTGTTGTAGCACTATCTTTATAGATTCTTGGAAAAGAACAGTGCCTAATTCTCACTATATTGAAATTTGACTTTAATCGAGACAGAGCATGCAAGAAAAATTTGTTAATGATTTAATCATTTCAGTAGTCTAGAAAGTCATTTCAATTGATAAGGGAAGAAAATTGAAAGAATAATGTCTAAATTATTTTCTTCAACATAGATGAGAGGATATCTCCCGTCCCAACTTTTTTTTTATATGAATAAATATGACGTTATTCAATGCGGTAATTACAGAACATTATTGATGAATTCTGTTTAGATCAGCCGAAGTTAAGGAAATCAAGATATCTGAAATTATCGTTTCAAAATACATAAAGTAAAAGAAAAAAGTTTTCAGTTGTTTACTTAACATTGACGATTTTGTGACTAGTGAGCATAATGGCAGGACCTTTAGATATTTCCTAGAACATGCCCACTTGTACATCACACTGGGTCGACACTCTTGCTACCTGACAAGGGATCGCCATAAAATCATTTGACTTTTCACTAACGTCCATAATGACGAACTGCCAGTGGGTCAGATATTTTTGTATATTTTCAAATCGTTTGCGGAAGCACTAGAAATGTTGCTAAAAATCGGAAAAAAATCACACAGTCATTTGAACTAATGAGCTCTCGTTTCTATAAACTTGCCAATTGAAATTCGGACCAAATGTTTTTTGAGCCTGCCTAATACCCACCCATCATGAAATCAAACGTATCCATGTCAAAATGACGATTGTCCGTAAGCATGAAATGACCGAATAAATTTTGTCCGTCAATTTCCGTCTATATAGATGACCCTCAATTTTCGAGTACTAGTCCAGCGATGTCTACACTGTTAACCCTTCAGAACTCGCGCTCTAAGCGCCGCGCCGCCTTTTTCAAATTTTCGCTTGCCTCTTGCAAAATTGAGTTTTCAAAAAATTGAAAAAATTAGAATGCCTAACTTGAATCATTTAGAATGGATTAGCAAGGTTCTTATCCGCTGAAAATCCATCAAGGCTACGAAAAATAATAAATTGTTGAGGCTCATACGCAAAAGCGGCGCCGTGCCGCCCAGCGCGAGTAACGAAGGATGTAAAATTTTCAATTCCGCTGTTGCTGTTTCCCGCTCGCCGCACGCTCGGCGCGTACCTATGAACGTGACAACGCTGCGTTACTGAAAGCACGGGTGGCACAGCGCTCACCACGCGAGTAACGAAGGTCGGTGGCTGAGCGCGAGTTCTGAAGGGTTAAACATTTTTATATGATACGTGCGTGTGTAACCGCATGGGTTTCAGTTGACTATAGTCAACTGGAAAGTATAGTTCTCGCCACGAAAGAAGGAACCTCGCTGGGTACCCACTCTCCTGAATTCAACTTTCAATCCACGGCCCCCACCACTCAAGCCGATGTTACTTCTTTCCTGGCACGGACTTTAGCGGGTTTCGAGCGCCTACCCACATTTAACTAAAACCCGAAATAACGCATGACGCGCATGCGCATCACCTATTAAAAGAGAATAACAAGGAAGGAAATCTAACCTCCGAATAGTGAATACATGGAATGACTGAAAAATGAAAAGGTGATTTTCGAAGCAGATAAAATGAGCCAAAATCGTATAATTCCTGATAGTGATGAAGAGTTAGGCAGTGAGGAGGATTTATTTACTGATGAGGAGGAGTTGATTGGTGATGTGACATTTGAAGAAAATGGAAATGAAATATTCTCCAATGAAGCAACAGCAGGATCGCCAAAACCTCCTTCTTCGGTCAAATACTGTACCTTAAGGGCTTTATTGAATTCTAATGATCAAAATAATGTCAAGGAAACACAGGAAAAAATTACTTTTGCTTTTCAGAGATATGTCACTGAATTCACCGAAATTTCACTGCAATTTGGTGATTGATTTCTAGAAATTAGTAATAAGTCATGGAGAATTCAGTAACGAAAATCAAATTTTTCAATCACACTTTTTTACAATTACTTTTTTAAATAAATGTGATCTTTTTTCTTCAGTGGAGGGGGGGCTTCGCCCCTTGGACCCCCCACTCGCCCCCCCCCTCCACCCCAAACATCATCACGCACTTATCATATAATAGTATATTTCTAACCTAGGGAGGGAAAATAAAGGATCCTCAGCCGCTAGTGCAATTACCAGCCGAGCCGAAGGCGAGGTTGGTAAGCACGCGGCTGAGGGTCCTTTATTTTACTTCCCGTGGTTAGAACGCGATTTTCCGTCTCGGCGTAGGCGCAAAGTCAGAGTTCCCTCCCTAGGTTAGAAATATACTAATACGCAACAAGTGCGGACAGCAGGCGGCTGCGCCGCCTTCGTGAGTAACCGTCTGCTTTCCGCACTAGTTGCGTAATGTACTATTAACTGAAATTTCAAGTACACTCTTCGGAAATTTTCACATTTAAGTTCCACTGAAATTTCGGAACAAATAGCTGTTTAAAAATCACCAAGTCCATTGAACCCTCGACAAAAATCAATTTTTTATGGATCCTCTCCCATCGAAGCATTTAGGGCAATGAGGGGGCTGACAGATTGGCGAGATGTGCTACGGATGACTGAAGAAAAAACCGAAAGGTGTTCAATACTTTTACAAGGACTACAAGGAGACTCCAAGACCTTGGTATCAAAAATGCAAACTCTCCAAGGAATTCATTGTTTGCGTTAATAGAGTCAGAGCAAACCATTACCACCTTGGAGACTTCTTGCATCGCATAGGCATTATCAGTGACCCAAAATGCCGGTGCGGTGCGAGATCTCAAGACTTCGATCACATATTATGGCATTGTCCATAGTTCACTCCACAATGTACTAAATTATTAAATAAGCTAAGAGCCAAATACTGCTCTCCTCCATATAACGGAAAAATTTACAGAAACAACTGATTTTCAATATATTAAGCAAATTTGTAACTACTTGAAAGAATGCAATATAAAAGTCTAGATTAAACAGTAATATCTAATAATAACAATAATAACAGTACTAATGATAATGTAGATTAAACGGAAATTTTGAACAATGTATATATCCAACGACAGTGTAAATAATTTTATAATAAATTGAGCACTTTAAACAATAAAAAAACCGGAACACATTTATGTCTAAATTTGCTCCTTGAATGAAACAGCAAAGATAATCTCGGAGTGACAAAATCAAACTTTTAACCGAGTAATTTGTCTCTTACACTATCAAAGATGATTTAACTCACTTTCATAATAGCCCTCAGGACACTGCTGCAGACACACGGCGAGATCGGTGACACGCAGGTGTGCTGGGGCACAGGAGAGACAAGAATCTTGACCAGCCCCAGCGCAAGTCTCACAGGACTCGTGACAAGGCCAACAAACGCCACCCTGGTTTGGGAAACTTCTCGGCGGACATCGACTTACACATGTACTATAAAGTTTAAAAGACGATTTTAGATTATTTCAGAGTTTCTTGGGCGTGAGAAGGGATTGACATGCAATTCGCTCTTCAGAAATTCAATTTTATAGGAGGGAAACTGAGGGGAAGAGGGTGAGAGTGTTACAGACTTGAAAAGGATTTCAATGAAAAAAATTTTTCATTAAAGTTTGAGTTGAAAAAAAATGTACGTATTATTTTGCAAATATCTTTGAAAGGAAGATGTCTGGAGCAAAATGTCAGACAACTTTTTTTTAATAGAATTTCATTGTCTTCCAAATTTGTTGGCTTCAAAGATATTTTCCAAATACTCACGACGACATTTTCTGACATTTCCAAATGGTCCAAAACTGCTGTTGACATTTTTCTGGAAATATCTTGGAAGCCAGCTGATTTATCGAAACATGTCAAAAAATATTTTTTTCTAGAGGAATAAATTCATCACAAAGAAATCCTTTTGAAACTCTTTCTGAAGGGGAGACCGTGATGAAATTTGAAAGTCTTTGCTAGAGCTAAAGAGTTATTGACGAATTTTCATATAGAATATGTTAAAAAGCCTGAAAATTTACGAGTCTAATCTATTTTGCCTTCATAATTCAACAAAAAATGCCCTTTTTTATTTTTACCTTAAAAATCGTCCAAGTGTGAGGCAAATTTCCATCCGATTGACAATTTTTTTTTCAAACTGTTCATTAGTCTGAAAAGAATCCATTTTACGACCCATTGAACGGATCATTAAAAAAAAATGGGAAAAATGAAAAATTGATAAATCAATGCGAAAGCAATAAACGAAAACAAAAATTCTTCAATTTTTCCGACATCTATCCAATGAATCCTTAATCGGATGGATACCTTTGTTCTTTGAAGTCTAACGAACACTTTGAAATCAAATGTGAAATTAAATAAAATATTGTTCACAATATTCATTGAAGAAATTTTCAAAAAAAAAAATTATTCAGTAATAATGGAAAACTCTAAAAAGTTTGACAGTGGCAAGATTTTGGGCAAAACTGAATTCTTGCTTGAAAAAAACTGCTAACTTGAACGAAGTGCTTAGATATCCCTAAATACAGAAGTCATGATGAAATTCAAAAGTCTTTGGATTTTGTAATCATGAATCTGAGAGCTCTTGGAATTTGTCAAGTCTCTAAAAAGTGGACAAATATCAAATTCCGAAGAGTAAGAACAAATGATTCTTAAGGTTTCAAAAAACTTAAAAATCGTTCAAGGATTAAAATTTTTATTCGGCTGGGCTAAATTATTCGATCATAGTTGATGTAACGAATAAAAAAAACGGATGTCGGTAAAATTTCTGCATACAGTGAAGGCCATATCTAATCCATGTTTCCATATCCATAGTAATTTCATATCCATATCCATATTTACTTAAGTGTATCCGAATTTACTGAAGAAATTGCAAAAAATAGGGTAGGGGTCATTTGGTCCAAAAAGCATTCGTCCAATGACTTTTCGTCCAAAAACATTTCGTCCAATGTATTGTACGTTAAATTCGACCTCTATCAAAAGCAATGACCCAAAAACGGCATAAATACACTATAACCACAGGTAAATATAAACACAAACCTGAGGAATCCAAATCCGATTACTCATTAATAACGACACGAAACCAGAATAACGTATAGGCTATCACGATACAAACCCAATCAAAGAGTGGGTTTATAACTAACATCAAAGACAAAAAAACACTAAAGACGGAACTTTACACAGCATATTTAGTCCACATATTTAATAGGCTATATCTCTGTAAATAATCGAGATATGTCAAAAAGACATAAGATCGAATCTATGTATTTTTTATGAGGGAACAGCTTCGATGCGAACATTTCTTCCGTACCTAGAACCATTTACTCGCTAAACTGTGATAAACAATAACGTCAGTGGTCATTTGCCCCATCATGCTGCACAAGAGCGTTAATATCTCATTAACGGTCAGATGTGAGGAACAATTTCCAAAAACTAATTATATGTGAAATTTGATGGCGAATATTTTTCATTTGGCCCGATTTTCTCTATCTCCATCGAGTTTGCCGATAGATGCATCGGAGCGTGCCGGAACCTCGCGCAAGTGCTAATACACCACCCGCTTCGCTTGCACCTCCAATAACTCATTATTTATCAAACACGGAGAGAAAAATTCAATAACAATTACCAGAAAAAAAAACGTAAAAATTACGTTTCAAAACGTAATCCGTGAGCGAAGTAAAATTTAATAAAAAATGTGAGTCGGAATTGAAATTGTACGAATCGCCACGTAAATTCTACGATTTGTTCCGCGAAAAATAAACAACTCATCTGATGACTCACCATTGTGGGAAAAGCAAGTCGTACCGTAATTTTTCCCCAACGATTGAGAAATTTTACGGAACGGGACGTAAAAATAACTCACCAGCTTCATAAAAATTATTGAACGTTCAAGAATTTTGGATTTTGGAGGCATAATAAGTCGGAAAGTTTCTGTAAGATTTTACTTCTTCGGAAAAAATTACGTGACAATTTCGTACTTTATTCGGTGATGAACCTGAAAATTCACTGAATGTTTCAGATTACTTCTCTTTCATTCCTATAAAAATTGCCGGAAAACGATTGCCCATTGCGGATTACGTGAATTGTTTCGTAATTTTTACTGAATATTTTTCTCCGTGTTGTTAGGGGAAAAAGTTTTTTTTGTAAAAAAACTGGGCCAAGAAAAAGTTTTGTTTGATTCCTACTGGGAAGTCAAAATTTTTGAAAAATACATAGAAATAAAAAAGGAAGCCAAGTCAGGAATTTTGAATTAATGGTGATAGTGCACAATCAGGTTTCTGTAAGAAAAATAGTTCTCAATGGCATAAGTATTCTGAAAAAATTCTCCATGAAATAAAAAATCAGTAGGAGCAGGACCAACGTTCTTGACGCGGATCAAAGGATGGAGGATTAGATTGATACAGACAGTGAGTTGAAAAACTCCGCGCCAAGAACGTTGGTCCTGCTCCTACTGTTTTTTTATTTCATGGAGAATTTTTTTAGAATACTTATTCCATTGAGAACTATTTTTCTTATAGAAACCTGATTGTGCACTATCACCATTTATTCAAAATTCCTGACTTGGCTTCCTTTTTTATTTCTATGTATTTTTAAAAAATTTCGACTTCCCAGTAGGAATCAAACAAAATTTTTTCTTGGCCCAGTTTTTTTACAAAAACATTTGTTTTTGTGTTTTTAGGCAGATTTCATTATTTTTTACAAAATAAGCAAGGACTGTTTTTACATCCGGTGAAATTTGTTCTTTTCAATTCAATTTAACTCATTCATTTTTCATAGGATAGAACATTTTTTGAATCAACAATTGAAGGGAAATAAACAGTTCTACTTCAGATTTATTGTCTCCACCGAATTTCAATTTTTAATCATCTATTAATAATTTTCCGACTTGATTTTGTTCCTCATGCAATTTTTGCTCTGATGATTCCTATGTGGATTGTATTTCTTGGAGAGATGAATTGATTTCCTTACAGGAATAGTCGAACAAAATGTTCACAAAGAATTCTTTTTGAAAACATCTGTTTTTGTTTTTTTTTGTTTTTAAAAATATTAGGGAAACATTGGGTGGAATGGACTCTTCTGACTTCTTGTTTCAATATTTATAAGCAAGGAACAAATTTATCGATTGAGCTCGGTTTAAGCTCATTACAAAGGGGTTGACTGTACTAATTTTAAAAAAAATTCTATTTCATCAATACTTCCATAAGACATCAACATTTTGAAAAGGGTTCAAAGTGTCCATTTAATCCCACTGTCTCCTAATTTTTCCTAAATAATCACAAAATTGTTCCCATTTCACTGTTACTTAAGGGTATTGGGTCCATAGTTGGAAAAAAAGCAGAGAATTTAACGAAAATTGCTGAACAGATTATTCGATCTATTTGAAAGCCGTGTGCAAAATGTCAAGACTCCTACATAAACAATAAGAATGGGAATAATTTTTGAAGTTGCTACTTATACACGCAGTTGAATAGGGCATCGGTAATTTTAGTGCTTTTCCTACGTTATTGATCTATCGATAACGTAGGAAATTCACAAAAATTACTGATGCCCCATTCAACTGCGTGTATAAGTAGCAACTTCAAAAATTATTCCCATTGTTATTATTTAGCTGGGGGTCTTGACATTTTGTACACGGCTTTCAAATGGATCGAATAATGTATTCAACAATTTTCATTGAATTCTCTGCTTTTTTTTCCAGCTATGGGCCCCGCCATAATACCTTTAATTTAGAGAATTTTTTTCCACGGAATGAAAACATTTTCTGTTACACTCAATGAAAAATAAATATTTTCTTTTCGACTTTAACTATTCACGGACATTTAATACTTGATCACACAATATTTTCGACACATCTCACTTTTGTCACATTCCGAACATAAACCGATAATCTCACAAACAGTGCCTAAACTACCTTTATGTCCGAGGTCCGCATATGAATACAGATATGGCGGGATGAAATTCGAATTTTCGACAAGAAAAAACAAAATAGAACACCGAGTCGATTTTCCGTTCCATTCTAATAAGTGATTTAACGTGAAGAAGAACATTTCCCGTGGTTTTCCATAACAACATCACAACCCACATTCAAATGCACTGGTGGCAACACTTCAACGTTGGATATGAGGCTCAGTCGGACCGGCGCTGGCAACGTTACAACTTGATTCTCCGACTTTATAATGTGAATCGCGAAAATGTGAATATCAAGCCGTTGCTATGCTCGTATCTTTCTTACTGTTAATCCAAAAATTACCATAGTTACTCCGTTGAAAAGCTCATAGGCGATTTATATAATGTAACTAACGACACTTTCCCGATTTGTCGTCCCGTTTTCATTATACCGAATGTAAATCATTTAGAGGTAGTGGAGGGGGTAGTTNAATGAAAAATAAATATTTTCTTTTCGACTTTAACTATTCACGGACATTTAATACTTGATCACACAATATTTTCGACACATCTCACTTTTGTCACATTCCGAACATAAACCGATAATCTCACAAACAGTGCCTAAACTACCTTTATGTCCGAGGTCCGCATATGAATACAGATATGGCGGGATGAAATTCGAATTTTCGACAAGAAAAAACAAAATAGAACACCGAGTCGATTTTCCGTTCCATTCTAATAAGTGATTTAACGTGAAGAAGAACATTTCCCGTGGTTTTCCATAACAACATCACAACCCACATTCAAATGCACTGGTGGCAACACTTCAACGTTGGATATGAGGCTCAGTCGGACCGGCGCTGGCAACGTTACAACTTGATTCTCCGACTTTATAATGTGAATCGCGAAAATGTGAATATCAAGCCGTTGCTATGCTCGTATCTTTCTTACTGTTAATCCAAAAATTACCATAGTTACTCCGTTGAAAAGCTCATAGGCGATTTATATAATGTAACTAACGACACTTTCCCGATTTGTCGTCCCGTTTTCATTATACCGAATGTAAATCATTTAGAGGTAGTGGAGGGGGTAGTTCTGTTGTGTATAGATACGCGGTGCGCTCGACCTGATGTTTTGCTCAGTCGATCAAAACTTTTTTTGGCCGATACGCTACCGCGTATCTCGATAAGACAAAAATATCATATTGTGTTACTAGCGCGTAAAGTTCCACTTTTTTGCACGCACATGTAAAGCATCCTATTTTTTGTGATACCTGCCGAACTCACTGTTCCGAACAGTAGTGGGGGTGAAGTGGTTGTTTTTGTGCACATGTGCGTCAAGTCCAAGGGCGTGAGTAAAGATAATTTCGAGTGCGAAAGTTCACTTTACTCACACTACCCGTTTAAAAAAGTGCACATTTTAGGCAGGTATCACAAAAATGTGTACTTTTATATTTCAAACATCGCTTGTTTTATACTTTTTCCCCATCTGCCACGGTTTTCGTGATATGATCGTTTACACAATTAAATTGTTATAAATAAATAGACCCGACCGCAACTTGGAAAAACTGACTTCGGATTCGGATTCAGCACTATCGAAAACATAAACTCCACTAATAAAAGTCAATTTGCTCGGTAGTACATACAGAACCAGTGCTAGCGTATGGACTAATTGTTGGATAGGATTTTGTCGTAGGTAGAAGGAGAACCAGGGTCATTTTCGACATTAGCATACAAGAAAAATGTGCTAAAAAAATGGATAGTAAATGATTCACAGGATTTTATAGATAAATTCCATGAATATTTTACATGATTTACCCGGATGCATTTTTTTAAACAATTAGACAAAAATTTAATTAGATAAAAAAATGATTGACCAAAAGCGTCATTGGACGAACTGACATTAGACAAGAAGTAATTGGACGGACGAACTTTGGAACAAAAGAACCACACGGATAAGATGAAGTTTGGTTTCGGACATCCTCGAGGAAGTTTTCCAGTGATGAGACATAAATATGGAATGATACTAAATATGGATGTTTTCCAAAATTCATGCTTGTTTTCATTTGTGTACATATCAACTATTTCTGAACAAATTTTTAGCTTAAGGAGAGACCGCGGTGAAATTTCAAAGTCTTTGTTGAAGCAGGGGACATGTTAACAAGTGGGAAAAATAATAACTACGATAAATTTTGCCCCGTGAATAAATGAAAGATAACGTTTTTAATTTCTACCTTTACAATTGTCCAATTACCTCAATTTTTGTCGGATTCGCATTTAAAAAAAAAAGTTCATTAGACTACAAAGAACAAAGGTATACATCCGTTTTACGATCCATTGGATACATAATGAAAAAATTGAAGATTTTTTTTCATTTATTGCTTTCCCATTGATTTATCAACTTTTCATTTATTTACAATTTTTTCATGATCCGTTTAATGGATTGTAAAATGGGTGCATACCTTTATTCTTTGGAGACTAACGAACATTTTGAAAAAAAATTGTCAATCGGATGAGAGCGGAGGCAATTGGACGATTTTAAAGGTAAAAATGAAAATCTGTGTTTTTAGTTGATTTGCGGGGCAACACTCATGGGCTCGTCGTCGTCATTTTTCCGATCTTTTAACATATCCTATCATACATGAAAATTCGCTCAATAAGTCTAGAGCTCTAATGAGGACTTTTAAATTTCACCTCGGTCTCCCCTTAACCCTTCACGTAGGCGGTCGATGCATGATATCGACCCATGCGAATGTGAACGCTTGTTTTCAAAATTGATTATTCCCAAATCTATGAAGAATAATTATACAAACAAAATTGGAAACCGGAATACTGTAGCTTCAATTAGATACCGGTTTCATAATTTTCCAACCATTAGAAATGATCGAATTCGAGTCGTATTGAGTACACACTACGCTTGGTAACAGAAGGGCCCAATCCATGAGGGGTTAATCGATTAAAAGTTCAGGCATTTGAATAATTTTCAAAGTTTTGGAATCTCACGGAGTTTGCTTCTTTTTCAATTCATTGAGGGCCTTAACAAATACCAAAAACTCTCATCATCTCTCCATATTATAAAAATCCAAATCGACTTCTGGTGATAAAAACTAGGTACTCGAAATAGAGACTCCGAAATAAAGGGCCACAAGGGTCATGAGGGTCAGAATAAGGGTTATGAGGGTTAAAATAAGAGTCACGAGGGTCAAAATAAAGATCACAAAGGCCAGAAGGGTCCCAAGGGTCAGAATAAGGGTCCAAATAAGGACCACAAGGGTCAAATTAAGGGTCGCAAGATTAAGGATTACCAGGGTCAAGTTAAGGATCCAAATAAGGTTAACAAGGGTCAGATTAAGGGTCTAAATAAGTTTTACAAGGATTAGATTAAAGGTCACAAGGGTCAGAGTAAAGGTCCAAATCAGGGGGATGGGGATCAAAAACCAAGGGTCAGAAACTAAAGGTCACCAGGGTTAAAATAAGGTTCACGAGGGTTATACTGAGGGTCAAATTAAGGATCGAAATGAGGGTCACAAGGGAAAGATTAACGTCGCAAAGGTCAAAATCTTTCTATAATGTAAAAATTCAAATCGACTTTTGGTGATGAAAATTTGGTGCTCGAAATCAAGACTTCAAAATTAAGAGCCAGAAATGAAGGGTCAAGGTACAGGCTACGAGGGGTATAGCGAGGGTCACGAGGGTCAGATTAAGGATCATGGAGATCATATAGGGTCCGAGCGACTTTAGAATTTTACTGTGGTCTACCCTCAAGATCATTAGTTTCCAAGATATACTCAAGAATCAAAAATATAATTTTCAAAAAAATAATTTAGAAGAATCGAGAATTTAGAACTGATTGTGATTTTTTAATTAATTTTGTAATTAGTTCCCACCTCCTCAATTAATAAAAAAGTACTAAAATACCCACTTGTCAAGCCTGTACGTCTTACAAGCGACGCATTCAGTGGGTCCCTTGTCATAGCAGCCCTGGTGATCGCACTGTGGATCGCACTCGTGCACAATTCTCCTTGACGGATCCAATGAGCCCTGGAGATTCCTGGAGACGTCGTCTACAATGTCTCCCGGCAATCGATTGGTAAGAATTGGGGCTGATGAGCCATCCAAGGATGCCACTGACGCCTGTACGTTAGATGCAGCACCAGCATACTGCCCCTGGTAATTCTGAAACCCAGATGACCGATAGTAGTCGTTGCCAAAAAGACGATCCAATGCCACTGAGTGATCTATTGGGAAGGAAGGATAATTCGTCTGTTGCTGTACCGGATTAAATTGTCGCGTTCGAATCCTTATTGGGTTTGTTGCGGTTCCGTAGAATATCAACTGCCACCTCTTCAGGATACCTTTAACGAATTAAAAATTAAAAATTATAAAAAACATTCAAATTGGTGAATTTAGGGAGATGTGAGAATGGACCGTCTTTGTTAAGCATAGATTCAACCGGGGAAAAAACATGGTTGTTTTTCGATGACAATTTTTAAAAGTACTCTCTTTGGTATACGTTTCCCTTAGGAATTCCGTTCTGTATGTGAACATTTTTTTCAATCGCTCAAAAATAGAGATTTGAATTCTTTCTAACCAAAAATTCAAATTAAACAGAATCTTCAACATATAAATTTTTTGACAAAATACATTTTTTCAGTATGATTACCAATTTACCCGATTCAATTATTCAAAATGGGGGAGACGATGCGTTCGAAAATGTATTCGTTCATTAAAAGAAGAATCTTTTGTTCAAATATTATGTATGAACTTCACTTATGAATGATAACTCTACGTTTAATAACCCTCATGTACCTATCTTTTATTACTTTCAGGGATGGGAACCTCGAATTACATTTGTAATCGAATTACTTGAAAATTACTAAATATATGCGATGTGTAAAATTTCTTCGGGAGAGATTTTATTACACTGAGAATTTTTAATTTGTGATTTTCGATTATCAGTTCCGATAAATTATAGTAATCGATAGTAATTACAACGAGAATTACATCAGAATTTTATTGGGATTAAAAATGAAATCGAATTCATATATATAATTTACAATGCCCATTCGGAATTTCTCCAGTAGAGGAAAAGTCTTTTGGCAAAAAATACTCATTGTGAAGGAAAAAAAATTTGCTGGAGTAAATTACATATTACAGCTGAGATTAGGAATTTCCAATTCCTAACTAAAAAAGGAATTTTGTAATCGTCATTTTCAGATTATAAATTGGTAGTAGAGTAACTGCAATATTCGATTCCGAAATTACAAATTATTCGAGTAATTCTCAGATAATAATTCGGATTACTCATTTAATTGTGTAATCTGACAAATTGAAATTCTCGTGAGTTGTGCCAAAAGGACGTATAGACATTAGTTTCTAGATTTGAGAAACTCCTGTTCTGAAACTTTATCCTTGATGGGATCACAAAAACTAATAAATTCGGGGATTGTTTTTAGGAACAAATATTTTCTAAAACCAATACTGAATTTTTCTTCGAATTTTAGAAAATTTTCAGATTGAACTAAAAAATTGCAACCGAGGTATTTAAGGGGCGTAAGTGCCCCATACATCCGGAGGAGTGCCCAAATATCGGGAATTTCAGATGTGAGGAGGGGTGATTTTGCGAAGAGGGGGAGGGGGGAGGAGATTGGGCATTGAGAAATCACAAACGTTTAAAATTGAGTTGGTGAGTTTTTCCAAAATATCTCCGAAACTAAGGGAGCGAATTTTTACGAAAATTTGGGGGGAGGGGGAGGTGCATTGAGAATTCACAACTAAGAAAATTGAGTCCATAGATTTTTCAAAAATATCTTCAAAATTAAGGGAGATGGCAAATTTTTACTGAAAATTTGGGGGAGAGGGCGGTGTGCATTAACAATTCCCAACCAACAAAATGGAGTCGGTGAGTATTTCAAAAATATCTCCGAAACTAATTGTCAGAATCATCTGAAATGTGGAGATTTACTATTCCCTTAGGAAGTGTTTATACGACCTTTTAGGCCAAATTCTTAGAAAAGTAAAAAAAAAGTCTATACGAAACTATGGCCCATCGTACACGATGCTATTGATAATTGTATCTGTTTTCTTTTAGCCGTTCTATTGAGACATTTTTTAAAATAACTCCATAAAAAAATTTGGATACAAAAAAGTGCAATAAATTATTTATTCTTTTACATCAAATTTTTTCTATGGACTTTTCNGTGTAATCTGACAAATTGAAATTCTCGTGAGTTGTGCCAAAAGGACGTATAGACATTAGTTTCTAGATTTGAGAAACTCCTGTTCTGAAACTTTATCCTTGATGGGATCACAAAAACTAATAAATTCGGGGATTGTTTTTAGGAACAAATATTTTCTAAAACCAATACTGAATTTTTCTTCGAATTTTAGAAAATTTTCAGATTGAACTAAAAAATTGCAACCGAGGTATTTAAGGGGCGTAAGTGCCCCATACATCCGGAGGAGTGCCCAAATATCGGGAATTTCAGATGTGAGGAGGGGNATTCGAAGATTGTCCAAATTTGGGCCCAAAGATTGTATAATCACTTCCTGAGAGAGTACAAAATCTCCAAGTTTCAGATGAGTCTAACTCATTTTTACGTAATTTTTTGAAACAATTTTTTTTGGTTTACTCACAGGGAATTGAGAATTTTTTTACGAAACTAAAAGGGCGTATTCCCGTTTTTTGGGGGATTAATAAATATTCATGCTTAGATGATTCTGAATTTTTTTGGGACCACTTTTTGAGTTAATCTGGAATGAATGATTAACACAAAATTGTATTGTGAGTGATTTCGCCAAAAATTGGTCCGGTTTCGTTCCTTGAAAATTTTAATTTTGTGGAGACTTTTCCGATGGTTTTTTCTACTATTAAAAGAGCTTTGAAAAACTCTCCCCATTATCGTCGGAAAAGTCAATTTCTTTGATTTTCGACTTTTTGTCGTCTTTTTGTTGAAATTCTGGGTGTCAGAAGAAATTATAAGACATTTTTTGAGTCTTCAATATGTATTATTGACGAAAATTTCCCGTTCTTTCGATTAAGCATGGTTTAAAGTTGTTCACAGCACCAGAAATGTCCTGAAATTCCGAAAAGAGTTAAAAATTCCGCGTTGTATTTTACATTTTTTTTGTGGAACTGACTTTTTGTTTCGGAAAATATCATTATTAAATCAATAACATTATTTCTGTCCTGTTTTTCCGTTTTTTGATTTTTTTCATTAATTAAAAATGTTTTTTGTTTTCCATCGAAAACTTTTTTTTTTGCAAAGAAATTGAAAAAAGTAAATTTTACTGGAAAAGTATGTATATGATCCCTGGGCTCGAATTTTTAAAAAGTCTCCTAATTGTTTTTAAGCAGACCAAAAACCATGTTCCGAAAAATTAGGTTCAAATGACCCAGACATATCTGAAACGTGGAAATTTATTATTTCCTAGGAAGGTGTTCCATATTTTCAAAAAATTGAAAAATTCCCCATAAATAAATGAAAAAAATTGTCTCGAAAAATTGGGCTCAGATGACTCAGAATCATAAAAAACGTGGAGATTTCATATTCCCTGGGAAAGAGTTCATACGACCTTTTGGCTCAAATTTTCAGTGAAAAAAAAATACGCGTAAAAAAATTTAAAAAATTGTCTCATAAAATTAGGCTCAGATAACTCAGAATCATCCAAAACGTGAAGATTTTGTATTCTCCGGGAAAGTGTTTATACGACCTTTTGGCACAAATTTTCGAAAAATTCAAAAAATTACGCGTAAAAAAATTTAAAAAATTGTCTCATAAAATTAGGCTCAGATAACTCAGAATCATCCAAAACGTGAAGATTTTGTATTCTCCGGGAAAGTGTTTATACGACCTTTTGGCACAAATTTTCGAAAAATTCAAAAAATTACGCGTAAAAAAATTAAAAAAATTGTCTCGTAAAATTGAGCTCAGATGACTCAGGCATCATCTAAAACGTGGAGATTTCGCATTCCCTGGGAAAGTATTTATACGACCTTTTGGCACAAATCTTCAAAAAATTGAGAAAATTACGCGTAAAAAAAATCAAAAAAATTGTCCCGTAAAACTGGGCTTAGATGACTCAGCATCATCCAAAACGTGGAGATTTCATATTTTCTGGGAAAGTGTTTATACAAACTTTTGGCCTGAATTTTCAAAATTTTTCAAATTACTTGTAGAAAAATAAAAAAATTTGGTTCCGAAAAGATAGGCTCAGATGACTCAGAAACATCTGAAACGTGGAGATTTCATATCCCCTGGGAAAGTGTTTATACGACCTTTTGGCACAAATTTTGGAGAAAACCAAAAAAAATGTTTATACGACCTTTTGGCACAACTCACGCGAATTGTCCACTTTAGGGAATAATGAATCTGTACGTTTCAGATGATTCTGAATCATCTGAGCCCAACTTTTGAGGACATTTTTTTTATTTTTCAAAGAGAATTTGGAAATTGAAATTGGGCCAAAAAGTAGAAAAAAATGTTTCTTTAGGGGATAATGAATTTGCACGTTTCAGATGGTGCGGAATCATCTGGGCCCAACCTTTTAGGACAATTTTTTTCCATTTTTTCAAAGGTTCAATTCCAAATTTACAAAATGTCTTTCATTTTGAAAATGTTCTAAAGAAGATAACTTAATCCCCTTACTTGCCCATTCCAGTAATTCGGTATTGTGAATATTTATTATTCAATAATCTGTAATCTGAGAAATCAAATTCCTGGTTAGTCAAATATTCTCCAATGGCATTTTATTAGATTATTTCTATCGCCAATAGTTAATAGAGGTCATTGAAAATTCCTTCAAATATTTTGGTAATTTACGATTGGTACTAATAAAAACTCATGTATTTCCCAGTCGATTCAGAAGAATTATAAATTTCAAAGGATTAATGGGTTACTGATATACAACTTGATATTTTATTGTAATCTCCGATTATTTTTCTTAGATCATGATAGAAAAATGTAATTTAATATTCAGGAACGCCAAATTCCCTATTTTTCCATCCCTGGTTACTTTACAACTGAGCGGGTTCCTCCTCTCATTAATTCAGATTTTGCTGGTGTACTTCCTCAAATTCGAATTGGTGTATTTTTATTGTACTGTTTCCATTAAATTTTCATTCTATTTATGGGAAGTCACTCGTTCTAATTCATATTTATAGGAAAGTTTTGAGAATAAAATTGACCCTTTGAATCAACAATATTTCGTGGTTGATAAATGAAATTCAAAATACATCTCTTCCTCAATTTTTCATAACGAGAGCGATCACGTGCTTCCGCGGGTGGTGACGCGTTATACTTTCCTGTATCATATTGTTCTAAACATTAATAGCAACACATATCATAGTATATGTCTTGCCATTTGTCTTGATAGTTGTCACATTGTTGTTTCATCTCTAAATTGATTAGGAAATTTCTTTTGACATATCTTCTGGTCGTCCCGGTAATTAAGAAAAGAAAATAGATAATCATATTTTTTTTTAAAACGCCTTCAACAATTTATAGATACGTTAGGTGTTAGAGATTGCCCTTAAAATCTGAATTGTTATTGATTTTACCACGGATTGTTAATCACGAGGCGCCGGAATTGGGAGAAATAGTTAAACACCAATTAGCACAAACAATATTTAATTGCAGAACTCAAGTTATGTACACTTTAAGTATTAAATCAACACGAATATAATTCTCATTCATGGAGCTACGATTAACTGTCTTAGAGTCCAAAAGGTAACTGCCTAATTCGACACACTAACTAGCTGATCGGGCGATGACCGTGAATTTCGGGGCTCACGTGATTGCCTTCAGTGTTTGGACGGTTATTATTCGCAATCACAAACATTAGGGATTATTTTGAAATCGAATTTTCAGTCACAAAAAATTAAAATCTGTAATTTCGAGGAAAAATAATGCGAAAAATAATACTTGAAAAAATTTCCTCGTCTCAAATATTCACCTAGTTCAATATTTGTGGGCGTCCACATGAAAAGGGCCCACTTTGACGGTATTGGAGTTATGTATGTTCCGATAATCTTGATCAGATTTCTCACATTTTGAGCCCAAAATCAACCCGATAGAATGAAAACTGACGTCAGTATAGACGATCAAAAAAACAATCTAACATTGGTTTAAATGGGAGATGTGGAGAGAAAAACGTGAATATCTCGGAAACTAGACGCGACAAAGTGGGCCCTTTTCACGTGGACGTACACATTTAATGAAAAATTGTCACAAAACATTTTTAATAGCTTTTGAAATTCCCTACAAAAAAGGTCTTTTTACATTTAGCTCTAAAAACCCTCATTATCGAGATAGTTATATAATTAACTCCCATATTTTATCCCCTCGCAAAAAACCGGTTGTATCTTCTCTCTTATTCTTCTTAATTGTGAAAAATAAATCCAGTAAAAAGTTATGAGCCCTTACCGGGTGAACTGACCCTCCTATTTCCAGCATTGATGACCTGGAGGGTCCATCTCCCATCAGCTTTTTCTCCCCAAAAGTGTACGCTCAAGAATGGCCAATCGTCAAAGTTGGAGCCAACAATATCCCTGGGTCGTTCAAACAGCAATGTCGAGGTAGTTCCCATTGGTGATGTCAGCAGCAAACGGAGATTACCACGTGGAAAGAATCGCAAAGACACCTTGAAGAGAATCACAGATTTCGTAAGTATTTAATGAAGATCGTAAAACGTCATGAGTCGACTTATCGCAAACTGTTAATTATGGAATTATCTCGGGAGATCTTCTCAATTACAAAAAAATTACCTGACATTTCTCTCTGAAACCACTGAATTCCGAGATACTTGTGAGGGAGTAATAATGATGATGATAAAGCTATGAATTATGACTTGTTAAACATAAATTTCTTAATTGTTCAATTTCCGTAACGATAGATCATATTAGATGTGTTAGAAAATGTTGTCTTTTTGTTGCTGAAAAAATTTCGGAAAAGAATGTAACATTTTTTTAAAAGCACCCTATTGTTAGATATTCACAAAATAATAGGGGCGAGCGGAGCCAAATAAAGCACCAGGACAAACGAGTGTTTAGCAGAATTATGAAAACTTTTCTGTTTGCTTTCAGTTGAGGATCAAATGGTCTTGAGGGTCAAACAACATTTAATAACCTTTGGGGCTAAGGGTCAAATGGTCATAAGAGTAGCTGATTTGTTTTTCCTTTAAGGACATGTGAAGTTGAGGTTCAAATTGACTTAAGAGATAAACAGCCCTTAAAAACGTAGAGGGTCAAGGGTCCACCGACCTTTTCTGCTCACTCTGCTCTAAAACTAATAGGTAATAAGACCATTTGAAGACCAATATTAGACCATTTGAATCTTGACCTCAAGCATTATTAAGGGTTGTTTAATTCTCAAGACAATTTGACCCGCAACTCCAAACATCCTTGAAGGTTGTTTGACCCTCAGAACCATTTAACCCTCAACTAAAAACAAAAAAAGTTTCTTGAATTGTGCTACATACAGTAGACTCCCGTTAACTGTTGCTCGTCGGGACCAATATCGATCGTAGTTCCGCGAACGCGACACTTAAAAACGGCCCCCACGCCGTGCACCGATTCCCCGAAATTTAAAGGGACTAGTGGTAATATGCATGTGGAGAGGGGATTTATTTTATTCGTGTTCTTTTCGTTTAGTTTATGGAGATAGAAACAACTGAGCGTGTGACACGATTAGGGGCGGAGTTTAGGGAAAACGGCAAGGAATCGAGGGGTGCGAGTGGGGGATGTTTGTGTTCCGCGAAAAACGCTCGAAACCGCGAAATTCCCGGAATAGCGACAGTTAACGGAAGGACAGTTATCGAGAGTCTACTGTATTCATTTTTCTTGGTGTTTTACGTCACGAAGACGGTCAGGTACCGCTTCATTGGTCGAAAAAGAAGAGAGTGGGAATTGTCGTCCTTTATTGGCCGAGGCGCACCTCAAGATTGGGTAGGTCGGCCCGAGCCATTCTGTGATTGGTCCAGCACTCGACCGTCTATGTGACGTCATTAGCAATTTCAAGGCGTTTGACATCTTCAACTTTTAACAATTAGTTATTCATTAATGAGCAATATTTCGAACGTTTGTGAATGAAAAATTAATTATTGAGGTCCCAAACTTGAGGTTAGAAAATTGAAAAAAATTCCTGCAATTTCCCTATTGTGATCATACTTTTCCCTACCTGTCTGAACCAACTAGTCAGATATGAATCGATAGTTATTAATTTTTCGGTCATAAAATTTTGTCACATTTGGTTATGACTCGTGTTGTACAATCAACAAAAATATCAAATTCTATCCATTACGTATTACGACTTTAATGCAGCCTTCACCAGTTTTATTCCCCTCATTCCACGCCTTTTCGTATCCCTCCCCCCTTCTACCCGTCCCTTATTATCACTTTATCGCTAATATCCAGAATTAGTATCGAATAACCATAATTCCGTATAGGATAGAACAAATGAGATATTTTACGGCACCTAAAGCCATTTAATCAATTTTTTTCTCATCTCTCAGTTTTTCTTTTTTAATTTCTCCCAGATTTTTTTTTTCATCCCAAAATCGCCATAAATCAGCGAATAATTTACTTTTTCAAGCTGAAACTGTTCCATAAAAAAGTCCGCCCATAAAAACACATAAACAGAGTGTTGAATCTGGTCTGCACGGATACGTACACCATCCACTCCATAAAATGTTTCTGAAACGAGGGAAGAAAAGGGGTCCTGGGGTTGGAGCATAGTTCACGCTTTACGAGACAGACAAAATCCATCTATCTGTCTTCTGTTATAAGAGATAAATGTTTGGATTTGTATCCCTATTGTAGAGCATCTTGACTTGAAAAAATTTCCCTATCATGATATAAAGATGAAGATGTTTCATAAAACTTGTGCTTGGATTTATGATGAAGTTATTTTGTTGAAAAACTATTTTCAGTAAATGGAATGGCGGAGAAAACTGAAATTTAGTCCGTAATCCTGTAAGGGAGATGGGGATACTTTGCCTGAGAGATTTTTTGTCTCAATTTTGTTTCAATTGTTGAGGATTGTTGAAGCAGTGGAATTGCGCAAAAAAAGAGCGAAAGTTGATTTAGAGCTTATTTTGCAAATGTCTGTAAGAGACGGAAATTGAAGAGAAGATACCGGAAGAAATTTTTTATAGTTTACTATACTGTAACTTAAAGTCTAAAGCTTAAACCCTAAACCCACCAGTTCCAAAGATATTCACAAAATAACATAATTGAGAAACTCACCAAAAACTCTTTTCTCTTTGACCATTTCGAAACTAATAAAATCCGAAAATCCCATAAAATTAACAAGAATTCGCAAAAACTCACCTCATCAATCCCGATAGATTGAAATTACCGAGCATTAGCCTCCTTAAGGTGTTTTGTGTGTAGATCACCGGGGGAGGGGGAAGGTGTGAAACGGAAAGGGAGTTTTATTGTTCTCGTGCCCTGATTCAATCGCTGAGCACGAAATTTTCCAATTTTCGAATAACTATTTAAGCGTGCATTCAAAAATTTTGTGAATATTGATTTTATTTATCAGATTGATTTTTTTCTCATAATATTAAAATGCGTCTCGAGTTGGTAAACCTGTCGAGTGTTTTCTCTCTCTCCGTTCCATGGTCCAACCCATACCCCTTCCCATGATCACTGACATTCAAATCACACGCCTGCGCGTGAGGACGTGATTGCCCCGAAACTCATAATTTTCCGAATCATTTGTTCAAATAACTTTCATATGAAATCTGGAAAAAATCTGAAACTTATACGTGTTCTCAAGAAAGATTTGATTTATCACCCACTCGTTTTTCCTCAATAGTTGATTATTTTTTTGGGTGCCATGGAAATTTCTCTCATTGAGAGTGAGGTAACCTCCGAGGTTATAGCTGGAGGGGTCACAAAAACATCCAAATTTCATTATTTCTTTTCTGGAGACTGAGATATGAATAAAATGTGCAAGAATTCTCAATGATGCAGCATACTCAGAAATTTCTTCCATGAGTTTTTCAATTTTTTTTTCATTATTTTCATTTTTTACACGAAACACCTTAACCCATTTCCCGCTTTCTCCTTCCAGCTCCGCCCCGCCGCCTTTCCCTACCAAACCCTTTCTAAACTACCCGAAAAAATATCAAAACCATCTAGAAGAACCCCATGTCCTCGACTGCATCGTTAATCATAAGTATCAAAACCATCACCACCCCGTAAAAAAAAGCAAATCCGCTCAACTCACCTTGCATTGCACATGCTCCAGGAAGCGAACCTCATTGAGAGTGCCGGCGCATCCACTGACGTCCATATAAACATTGAGTGTATAGCCAAAAGTGGGATCGATGGACCGCTCCTCATTGATCTCCTGTGACTTACAAATATGCTGAGGTGGTACATTGGTCCATTGCTCGGCGAGATTGACGACAGCCCCTGCATCCATAAGTCCATAACCGAATTTATGAGAGACTTTTCTCTTCACTCCATTTAAAATCCATCCCGGCTCCTTTTCAAGTGGTCCAGACCTGGACGTCAGCACCACGAGATACTGCATGTCCCTCCAGGTCAGATTGGGATTAGCCTCGAGAGCAAGAGCAGCTATTCCAGCGGCAAGAGGAGCCGATGCTGATGTTCCCGTATGTTCAACCGTGCATATGTGATCTGGTCGTAATTTTCCATCCATATCAACAGTAGCTACACTCTTATCATTGCCCGGCGTGCCTGACGAATATGTTGTCGCCAGGGTTGAGCTGCATTCCTCCAAATACCAGGGCTTATAACCACCCTGGGTCGCCGATGATATCGACAGGGTGAAAATACTGTTTGTGTAGCCGTCACAGTTGCACGAGTCTGTATGACGACCACCGTTGCCCGAGGCCCACACGAAGATCGAGCCTTTACCTTTTCTACCCTGTTTGTGAATATCAATGTGTCAGATGCAGAATGGTATTGGCGGTTTTTTTCATTTATTTATTTGTGATTCTTTGAGGGAACTTCTCTGTTGTCATTTTTTTTAGATGAGGGAGGAATTTTATGTCACATTAGTTCAGTTCTCTGTGTGAGGACGGAAAAATGGAGAGAATTTTGAAGCTGTGGTCGTGGCATTAAATAGCATCGGGCATTTATTTTTTTTTTCTTTTGGATGAAAGCTTGCAATTCGTCATAATATTCGATTCTGAGGGGAAATTATTGCGAGTGGCCGAAAAAGTGGTGGTCGGTGTATTAATGCAACGACTTCATCGGTTACATGTCAAAACATCCGGCGTTTAAGTATCCTGCGAAAATAGTATATTGTGTTACTAGTGCGTAAAGAGAATTTCGAGTGCACGAGAATTTACTTTACACACGTTCGTGAATTTTACGAACACCGTGCAGAAAACAACCGCTTTACGCACACTAAAACGTTTAGAAAAGTGCACTTTTGAGGCAGGTATTAAAATAGTACATTTCGATACTAGGGCGCATGACAAATTTTCTGGCGAATATGAGTTTGGAGCACGAGCCAAAGGCGAGTGATGCAAATCATATGAGTCAAGAGCGAGCGTAAAGTGAATTTCGAATGCGTAAAGCGAAGCTTTACGTACGAGCGAAACTTTCCGTCCGAGAGTTCACTTTACGCACGCCGTGCGGAAAACAGCTGGTTTACGCACACTAAACGACGGGGATCTTTAAGCTCGTGTGATTACCTCCAACTTCATACTCGTGAAAACCTGACTATTCTAGCTCATATGATTGCAAACTCATATTCGCCAGCAAAGTTTCTTTCGGCCTAGTGACGAAGAAAACTATTGGAAAAACTATTCAGTCAAATCGTATTATTTGGTCCGGAGATATTGACGATAGAAAATTGTCTATTCTACTCTACTCTTCCGTATATTGAAATATGGATACATCGAGATGAAGAACACAAAATCATCTCCATTCAGAAGAAAATTTCAAATCCTATCTCTAAATGCGGAACGTTTGACCGCTTGATCCTCAATTCTCATTGGTCAATGAATTTCGAAAAGTTAGTCACTGAAAAAATTATTCTTTGCCTCATGACTGTTAATTTTTTTATTCTATTCTTAATTATTTATCATGTGCAAAATTAATTCTTCCTTATTGGGTTTTCATTTATCATCATTCTATTAATCGTACTTTTATGAATTCCATAAATTTCGATTTTCTCAATTTTACTCTTTTCGCAAATCGTATAATACTTATTCTTTTTCATTTCTTCATGTGAAAATGCGAAGGAATTCCGCAGCTTCCTGGAAAATTCTAGAAAAATCTCTTTTCTCATTCGAGAAAATGATTTATTTTCGTAGAAAATCCATTCATAATACTTTCCTTATTTCTCAACAATTACGGCTACTGATAGGGTTGCTTTGAAAATTGAACAGTAATTGATCAAAAATTCAAAATTATTCAATGATTTTTCTCTTAACATTAATTTTTGTCATTGACTGGGGTTTTCTTTCTGTGTATCATTTATTTTTATTATGCATTTTTGAGTGTATGAAATAAAATGAATATCACGTTTTCATTTTCACATTAAATAATAAAGAAGTTATTAGTTTTGAGGCTTAGTTTTGAGGCTTTCGCGGCCATTATTAATGACGTGGTTGGCTTCCGGATGGATGCCGCGTTGAGTTTCAGCAAAAATAAAGAAGTTCTCATGATTTGAATGAAAAAAACAACAATGGCTGGATGAAAAAGGGAGCAGTTCCTCTGGAGTTATTACTCACTGCAGTTGTACGCATTTGGCCCCACAATTTGTTGAAATATTCCACATTCAATTTTTTTTTATAAAGAAAATTAATATAAAAGTACAAAATGAAAATACATAAAAAAATGGATTTTTATAAAAAGGAAATGAGTAAAAACCAATTAAGTCTTCAGTGAAATAAAAGAAACGTGTTTTGTCGTATTCCATAAAGGGGAAGATTACGATTTCTTTGGCGCCGCTATTTGACATACATTTTCCGTACTACTTTTCCTCGGGAATACGGAAAAAATGAAGAAAAAATTCCCTCTCAATTAGTTTTTGGAATATAAGCATTTCAATCCTTATTTTTCAAGATACGAACATTTCCATAAAGCTTTGCATAGGTACTTGACATTTCAATTCATGCACTCATATTCACACATTGGAATTCAATGATTATATTCACAACGTCAAAACAACAAAACTCAATTTTAATGGAAATTTTTTTGTAGGAGAGGTTTATGATTCATTTTTTGTTCTGAAAAAATTGCAACAATAATCGCAAAAATTCAGTCAACAAAATTTGCAAAAAAAGAATTTTCAGTTAAAAACGCATTCAACTAAGGCACTGTCACTCTTGTGACCCTCGTGACCCTAGCGACTCCTTTTTTTATATGACCTTACTGACTCCTTTTTTGTGGCCTTTGTGACCTTACCTTAAGTTGGGAAAGCACCTGATACATAATCAGAAGGTCCCGGGTTCAAATCTCAGTCTGGACTTTCGGAATTTTTCAGTAAATTTGCCTTATCAACTAATATTGAGAATTATCCTCGTTCCCCTTATATCTACTCCAAAATGTCTTCTGTGAAGAATCTCTATAATTCAGGAGAAAAAAAGGAGATAGAATTTTTCATTATTTTTCCCGTAATCCTGGAAAAAAATGGTACGGAAAACATAAGTTAAATCGTGGCGCCAAAGGAGTCGTAATCATGCTCCATAAAGTAACGGGGCTAAAATGGGTTTTTGCATAGTGAAAATCATCGGGAATTTTTCGTAATCGTTTGCTATTCGGGCCATTATATGGCCATGCATGGGTTTTTTTCTTTTAGGAGTTATTCTTTTCTGTGGTTCCCGGTAGCTTAGTCGGTAAGAGTGCCCGGCGCGTATCTGGGAGACCCGGGTTTGACTCCCGGCTGGGTGAAGCGGAAATTTTTTCTCTCTAAATTCAAATTCTCTTAGAGTTCTTTAATGCCTAAAGGAGGTTAGGCGGTGTTTGAGGTGAATTTGAGAGTGAATTTCTGTGGTTCCCGGTAGCTTAGTCGGTAAGAGTGCCCGGCGCGTATCTGGGAGACCCGGGTTCGACTCCCGGTTGGGTGAAGTGGAAAATTTTTCTCTCTAAATTCTAATTCTCTTAGAGTTTCATACATATTTCACGAAATATGTATGAAATTTCCCCGGTTATCTGATTATGTAACCACGTTTGCTCCACTCCTCATAATTTCAACTCCATTATTGTATTTTCGTGCAATGGGGTTTCCAGTCGTAAAATTCCTCCACAATTTTTTTTCCTCCTTTGTGGGAAGTAAATAAAAAAAAGGTATTGGCTCTCAGATATCAAGGAAACTTTTCCGTACCGAAGCATTGGAAAAACTTTTCAATTGTTCTCCATTTTTTTTCCACCGAGACAAAAGGGGCAAAAAGAAACATATCATTGCCGCCTGATTCTGGTTGGAGTTTAATTTAATTAAGTCTCAGTGAATTGGAACAGTGGATAAAGACAGGGACAATGGGATAGTGTGGATATAATGGATTTGAGTGATAGGTAATGAATTAAATGGAGTACTGGTTAACTTACACTAGTAACACCATAGATGAATGCACGTCTGGCAAGGGCGCCCGGACCATCGACTGTTTTGCCATCGTCCTCAGGGCCCCACGAGGCGGAGTAAATGTCGATGTGGTCGGGATTCAGTCCGAGTGCTCGAGCTTCAACTGCATCGTTTACCATACCGTCTAACATCCTCACTCCTGGGGGATTGAATTATTTATGGGTGAAGATCATAGGGGTAATTGAGTGGTAAAATTTTATTGGTTGAACATAATAGTCTTTTGTGATGTTTAGATTTGATAAAGAAAATTGAAAAAAATTTTTTTTTCTTCAGTTCATAATTCTCGAGATGTTTCTGGGAATGCGCGAGTCTATTTTTAGGTGAAAATCTAGCCACCTTGTTGTCAAGTGCCATGTAGATCGCATAAACTGCGCCTCGAGATAATACATTTTTTCTTTCTTTTTACTCTCTCACATGATTGTCTCACGGGATCGTATTCCAATCACGACACACTGACCAATGACTAAAATTAGAAAACAATGCTAATGCTCATCGAAAAATCCACTCTAGACACGACTATATTACGTTATGTATACCTAACAACAACCCTATCTCTAGCCTATAAAAGGTAGTGCACAAGCCCAGCAGCTTCACTTCCAGTTGTACCTTAGAGAAATAATTAGTTACTCCTGTTTTTTTTTTATTTACATTTATTCCTGTTCATCTCAGTTTTTCAACCGGAGTCTGATCCGAATTTTATTTCAAATGTAGGTCTCAAATAAATAATATAATAAAATAAAATTCGAAATCTTTAAAACAGTTTGTATGGCCATAGAAGCCAAATTATTAAAATATTCCATTAAAATCTATTAAATAATATAAAATCCTTCAAATTAAAATTGGACTGTGTATAGAAAAAGAGAGTTAAATAGAAATAACAGGAACAGAGCGTATTCGTTGTAATTTGCAAATATCTTGTTATCATAACTGATATACGAGCAGTCAACGAACGCACTTAATAAAGAGGATGTAATGAAATGTTGAAAAGACTCTTTAAATCGAATTGGATTAAAAAATTGGCAAATCACTTTCTTTTTTGAAATTTCATTGGAATCAGCCTAATATCCATCTAGTTCTATTTTCAACAAATTAAAGTCAGCAGAAGGCATTAGCACACCTGAAGGACATTCGACTTTGGTCTCAGTCCCTGGAGTAAAGGCATATTTTTGCGTTGACCCGAAATAGAGATCATCAGTAAGTATTGTGTTTGGATGTAGGACTTTCATAAATGCAGAAGTATCTCGGTAATGCGTGATTTTTACGGAAAATGTGAACTGTTTTACTGGTATTTTAGAGGTCATGAACATTTAGGGGAGGCCGCGGTAAAATTTAGTGAGCATGTATCTGGGAGTTACGTGTAAATCGGATACATAACTGAAGCTGAAATAGTTCTCTTTCTGATGTTGTTCGTGTGATTACATGATTTGTCATAGTTTCATAAATATTCAATTTTAAAAAGAGCCATTTGTTTAAGCAGGTCGGTATGGCGTGCCGACCCTGCCAAACTCCGGCGGAATTCCAAAGTAACGAGATATTGTAGTGAGGTTTTTCATACGTTGAAAATCGATTAGATTAGATTCTTTGTTTTTCACCTTCGAATCTCTAAACAAAACGACAGGAAAACTCTTCAATCGATAGGGAAGGTCCCGATGAATCGATTTTTCAATTTGGGGCACGATAGTGTACGCATCAGAAAATTCATTTTTTTTTCAATTTCATGTTCATCAACAGATGAGTACATTGTAACGATTTTTTATACATTTTTTTATAATTTTCATTATTTGTCAAATTAATTTTGTTTTTCAAACTCATTCATTTTTTCCTAAAATGCAATTTTTTCCTTAATTTCATTTTTTTCTCTAGAAATTGAAATTTCCGAATTTATTCATTAGATGTCTTGTTAATTCAAATTTTACGGAGTGAAATCCTAATACTTCTAATTGATTGTTTTTGTCATTCCGGCCGTGAGGCAGCGCTTTACGGACGCTCCCCGTCCATGAATCTCTGCCTACGGCCGTCATGACAAAATAGTATATTTCGTCACTAGGCCGAAAAAATCTTTTATGGTGAATATGAGGTTTGCAGCACGAGCCGAAGGCGAGGACTACAATCATATTCGTCAGAAAAGTTTTTTTTGGCCGTTTGACGAACAATATTTTTCGTGAGAAGACCCGGTAAACCGCGATTCTAACCTCGCTTCGCTCGGTTTGATTGCGGTTTACGGGCCTTCTGACGAAAAATTGCATTCATCACACGGTCCAATAGTTATTTTCATCACAAGGTCCACAAAGTATTTTCTGACGAATGTGGCTTTGTAGGCCGAGCCGAAGGCGAGGCCTATAATCACATTCGTCAGAAAATACTTTTGGACCGTGTGATGAATGCAATTTTTCGTCAGAAGGCCCGTAAACCGCGATCAAACCGAGCGAAGCGAGGTTAGAATCGCGGTTTACCGGGTCTTCTCACGAAAATATATTTTCTGACGAATGTGATTATAGGCCTCGCTTTCGGCTCGGCCTACAAAGCCACATTCGTCAGAAAACACTTTGTGGACCTTGTGATGAAAATAACTATTTTGTCATGACGGCCGTAGGCAGAGATTCACGGATGCGGAGCGTCCGTGAAACGCTGCCTTACGGCCGGAATGACAAAAAAAACTTTTCTAGTTCATATGATTGCAGCCCTCGCCTTTGGCTCGGGCTGCAAACTCATATTCGCCAGAAAAGTTTTTTTTGGCCTAGTGACGAAATATACTATTTTATTCTCTTGCTTCAGTAGCAAAGTGACGTTTATATCAGTAAACAAGAGAGTACCCACAGGAACGGGGATTCCATTCTTTTCATTTTTTATTTTTTCCGTCGTTACCGACCGTCGGGGGATGCATTTAGCAAATTTATCTGACTATCTAAATCTACATCATTGTGAAAATTCAAAATTAATAAAAGTACCCAAAATAGCGGCTCATCTCGGTGTTTGTAAGTATTGAAAGAATTACCAGAGTTCTTCCATTTTTTTTTAAATTTTCCTTGGTATTATTCGAGTTTTTTGGCTTTTTTTACTTTTTATTGATTCCTGATCGACTCCTCGTCAACCCCTTGAATTTCTCAATTTTGACCCTTTTTTTACGTACCCCACTATGCCCCGGTCTCCCCTATTCAAGCTCAAAGTTGCCATGTTGTTCGAAAAATACGCCTTATGCACGGTACACGGCTGGGAGTTTCGAGATAAAAATTTGAAAATCTAACTACTTATCATATTGTTGACGGATATTTTCATAATAAGCACATCTAGAAAAAACGGTTAACATATTCGTGTTCAGGGACCACAAAAACATAAAATACAATGATAAAATTCAATGGACCTAAAAGTGTATACGGAATTTGTCACAGCGCATGGACTATGGGGATAATATGTAATTTCGGAAATATTAGAGAAAGATCGGCGATGGCGGTGGTGAGAAAAAAATATGGATAGATCCTAAAGATGGATATTTCTGAAAGTCCATGCTTGTTTCTATTTTTGTACAGAAGAACGTGTAAATCAACTTTTAGCTCAATTGATTAAAAATTGAGGGTTTGCACGATTTCCAAGGTTTCAGCCCGATTTGATTTCTTGCGTAACTTGAAACCCTTCGGAGTTTATTCCTTTTCCACTTTTTGTGGGCCGTAACACATACCAAAAACACTCAAATTTTATCACGGTCTCCCTTTAATGAGACGTGAAAGCAAGGCTTTCTGTTTCACGCTTTTGATCGCATGATGAATGAGATTGATTTAAAGAGAATGCTTTCTGGATCAATTCAAATTTGAAAAAATCCAACTCATTTTTTTTGATAGTGCTGTCTTGTAGATTCCACAAGAAAGCAATATCTCAGCTGAAATTTGAAAAGCCATAACACTGTTATTAGACATGTAGTGAGCTGTCGAATTTGATACCATAATGACGTTTTTGTCACTCAGTGAAACACTGCCTCATGGACCCTTAGTGTCCGTGAAACACCGCCCACTGATGTCGTGACAAAATATACTGTATTGCGTGTGCACAGAACGTTTGAGATATTTTACGACCACTCCTACATAAATAAATTGTACCAATGAATTTATTGAAACAACCTGAGTATACGCAATATTTTTGCTTGAGTATATACAATATTGAGTTTGATCTTTTTAAATTTTAATTCCCAAAGAGAGCTTTTTGAATTGTCCTCTCAAGATCTGCGTCTTCTTTTAAGACACGTCGAATTAATTTCGAAATGTGGTGGGAACGGAAGGATTCAAGAAAAAAATCTCGAGATGTGTTTTTTGTAAGACATTTTATGAGCTACGTGAAAATCTATCGACGTGTTCCGCTAAAATCGTTCGTTGTCGAAATAATTGACGTCTAATACCGTCAAAAATATAATTATTATAAATAATATAAATTTCATTTTTTATGCAGATAACTTCTAGGAATATCGCTTTTGGGAAAAATGTCAAGAAACATTTCACAGGATATTTTCCTGAGTGAAAATCAAAATTTCAAGAGTGTTCTAACAGAAATTGATCAATGTCTTCATTCGCTACTTTGCAAATATCTTGAGAAGGAAGAGATTTCGCAAAAAACATCAATCCATCTTTTTTGTAGAGAATTCTTCCTCTATACCGTCAATGTCCCAGTAACTCTCACTGGCTCGGTTCCTGCCATCCTTAGCGATTTTAGATAACATTTAAAATTACCGAAGAGGAGTAAACAAATCATCTTATTGTTAGTACAAAGGAAATTCTCTTTTCCTCCAGTCAGAAAAGAATAATCGTAATCGTACAATGACAATCATTCACAATTTAATAACAAAGTGTCCGTGATCACTCGGAAAGTGGCACTTACTGAGGCACTCCCTCAAGTACCCATGTACCTATTACTGCCACTCGTATTGAAAGCAAGTTCATCTATCAAAATCTTCAACACTATATATTTATAGTAATGGGAGAATATTAATAGTGTGTTTCGATTGATTTAGCATTTTTAGATGATGTAATATGTCATTTTGACTATTGTTTTTATTCAATAATATCATCGCTGCGCGTTATTTTCCACCTGTTATTAATTGGCACCGAAGGGTGGTAATAATTGAAACATGAGTTTCCCAAGTGAAGAAACTGT